CTATCATTATACTTCTTAAAGGTTCTCTTTCAAAACTTCCATAGTGAGGGCTAAGTCTCCAGAATACAAACCACAAGTGGACAAACCTTAGCAAATAATTCCAGTCAACTTTATGAAAGTTTTGTGCATTGTTTTATGCAGTCAAAGTTTGTATGCTTCCAACAAAATTCATGTTGAAAGTAATCCTCATGCGAGATATAAAGAAGTAGGATCAGGCTAGGCATAGTGGTGCACACGGTTTATCCCAGCAGTTGAGAGTTCGAGGCCAGGGTGGTATACATAGCAACTTTCAGGACAGCCAGGGCTACATGGTGAGATATTACTCCCCCCTCCCCCCGAGGAAGAGGAGGAGATGAGGATCAGACAGAATTTTCTGAGGTTCTCCTAAATCAGGAGAGATTAATCTACTCACGGACTGATAGATTAATGAGCTCTTTGTCAAGTGGAGTTGTTCTGAAAACAATTGCTCTCTGACAAGCTTTCTCTGTCTTTCCATGGCATGCTGTGTGCCACTTTGGAAAATGACAGCATCATTACCGGTAAGAATGCCCCCACCAGATGCAAAGCACATATAAGAGCCATGTTCTTACGCTTCTAGAACAGTGAGAGAAACCAGAATGCTTCCATTTGCCATGGTAGGCTCAGACACTTGGCCTCCAGCTGCTGCTGTTTGTGTAGGGTATGGAACCTTTAAGGTAAGGCCTTTTCTGCAGGGTATTTATTTGTCACGAGTTGGGGTCTCTGAGACCCCACTACTCAATTCCATCAACAGTGTGCTATGAGGCTTACCCAGCAGGCTTCCTGTCACCTGAATGCCTAAAGATACAAACTTGAGAACCCTCTACCTTCTACCTGGTCTCTTCCTACAGGGATCAGTAGACCCTGCCAACACCAGCTCCAAGACCTCCCTCTGTATGGATAATTTTGTCCATTTCCACTGCCCTCTGCCTAGTCCAGGTCACCACCTTCTCCCATAAAAACTATGGGGGCAACTTTCCCTGTCTCCTTGCTCTCTGAGTCCCTCCATATCCACATAATACTTCCTTGAAACATCACTAGGATGTTCCCCAAGTAATCTTTGTGATAGTTACTGTTGTATTGCAATGAAGAGATCAAGGCAACTTTTACAAAGGAAAGCATTGAATTGGGAGATTGCTTACAGTTTCAGAGGGTTAGGCCATGATCATCAAGGCAGGAAGCAGACAGGCATTGTGCTGGAGCAGTAGTGAGAACTTTACATCCTGGTCTGCAGACAGCAGGCAGAGAGAGAGAGAAAGAGAGAGAGAGAGAGAGAGAGAGAGAGAGAGAGAGAGAGAGAGACAGAGATGGAGACAGAGACTGGGCCTTATTTGGGTTTTCATTCCTAGTGACACATCTCCTTCTCCAATAAGGTCGTATCTTCTAACCCTTCTCAAACAGTTCCACTAAGTTGGGACCAAGCACTTAAACACATGAGTCTATGGGGACCATTCTCTTCAAATCACCATAGTCCTGTACCATGGGGATCCTGCAGTAGTTTTCTAACATTGTTGTCCCTTTATTACTGATGTGTAATAATATTAGAATTTATCTACTTCTGGATCTTGATCTAGTCAAATCTGGTTACAGATCTTTGTTAATGCTCTGGCCCACCACTTACCCCATATCCTAGTTAGGGTTTCCATGGCTGAGATGGAACACCACGACCAAAGCAACATGGGGAAGAAAGGGCTTCTTTGACTTACACTTTTCTATTATCATCAAAGGAAGCCAGGACAGGAAGTGAAACAGAACAGTTCTGCTGCCTGAGTAACCATCCCCCAGCAGCACAGGATTCAAGGGAAACCCACAGAGTCGGCACACATTAGACTTTCTATCTGAGGGGGTTAGGGAAAAGGACACTCACACTCTCTCTTAATGGTTTCCTTTCCGGCCTTTTCTTTATTCTTCTTTTGCATTCTCTATTCTTTATTTTCCTGGTGATTTCTTTCTCTCATTCTTGATGTGTTCCTTCTAACTCTATCCTTTCCTTGACAGCTTACAAACCTCAGCAACATCTTTCAGGCAATATAAAATTGCAATGTGTTTACATTCTGGTTTTCAAGTGAATGATTACAATGAATACAAAACAAACATTAAAAATACAACATGTCTTCCATATCCCTTCCATGATTAAACATTTTACATATTACAGGTGAAAGACAAGTTATCCCAAGAACCTACATACATTCATATTCAAGCAACTTGTTATAGATTAACCATTTGGCAAGCAAGGTGTTTTCGTCAGGTCTTTTACTGGCAGGCTGCATTTTGCAGTTACAAAGAAAGGGTCAATTACTTCACTGCTTATCTTGAAAGGTAATCTTGTAAGGAATCTTAAAGGAATCACACACCTAAACTTTTATGTATGGAAAAGAATCAGTCAGCACTACCTTAAACCTTTAAGTACATACACACATCAGTAGTTTCTTCTATTAGGATATGGAGGGCAGAAATGGGTATAAAGAATTAATCATCACCTTTAGTCATCAACCACCAAACCTAGCCAGAAAGATATATGTCAGCTAACGGTAACTGGGCTGCTTTGTTCTGGTTCCTGACCTTAACATGTTCCTCATTAAGCTATATGCCCTCCTAAAACTTTAGATTGTCTTCTTGGGTTTTTCACCTCAAAGCTATTTGATGAACACATCGTACTCTAAACAAGTTATTTTCAAAGTTTTGTTTCGACTATCTTGCACCCCAAAACCTGTAAACACATCTCCCAACATTAAGATTAGAATTTAAAAAAGCTGGACTACTGGAACTCATTTTTTTTTTAAAAATAATTAACCTAAGTCACAGTTCATATGACTCCTCAATAGAAATTCATGTGTTCTAGCTGTGTGACATATCCTTGTTTTAGTTTTAATCATCAAGACTCTGTTGATGCTAACATTATCAATTAGACAGTACAGCTTAGCAAGAAATCACCTTTATAATAATCCACAGGTAAAAATGCCCAGGAGAACAGGATGTTTCCATGAGATAAACACACTACATTATAGACAGTGGGGATCTCCCCATACACATTTACACCATCCCAGATACCAGAGAAAGATAGAGGTGGCAGACATGCAAAGGCACAGGAGAAGCAAAAGACGTTCAGGAGTCTGTGGTCTTACGGCCTTACCTATCTAAGAGTTACCCATCAAGGATTTTCCTCCTCTTGGGCTGACACCTGAACTTCTAATGCCACCTGCTGCTCCTCTGGCATGGTCACCAGCACAACAGGAAGCTGGAGGCAGAAGCTGATGCTGAGGTCATGGAGGGATGCTGCTTACTGGCTTGTTCCCATGACTTGCTCAACCTCCTTTCTTAAACAACCCCAAAACACCAACTGGGCCCCTCCCCTGTCAAGCACTAATTAAGAACATCTGGATCTTATGGAGGCATTTCCTCAGCTGAGATTCCCTTCTCTCTGATGACGTTATGTCAAATTGAAAAAAAAAAAAAACAAACTAGCCATCATACCCCACCATCAACAAACGGCTTTCACCCTACTTACCCCTGAGTCTTGGCTGGCCCAAGAAACAGAAAAACACATCCCACCAAAACCAAAAGACAAAACATCATAACCAAGTCTAAAGATGTGAAGATTTATGAATTGCCTAACAGAGGAAACAATTGTTTTAAGGAAACCCTTAAACAACAAACAATACAAACAGCAGCAAACATACACACACAATTCTAGAAAGTCAGGAAAACAATACAAGACTAAAGTAGCATTTTAAGAGATAAATGTGACTAAAATGCTTACAAATTCTGGGCCATAAAACACAATGTATAATATGCAAGATGAAGCAAGGCTGTCTTAGTCCACACAGAATACTGGGAAACCATGGTTCTAGAGCTTGCGACGTCCAGAAGGCACAGCACTTGACTTTTGCTCAGCTTCGGGTTAGCAGCTCCTGCTGCATCAGCACATATAGGAAACCACAGAGCAAGCAACCATGCCAGGAAAAGACAAACTTCTAGAACTGTCTTCACTTTATGACAACTCACGCTGTGGTAACTAAATCTTCACATTTCGGGAAAACTGCTCGAATTCCTCTTTATGACAAAATGGACCATCTGTCAATAATATTACAGCGGGGGTTCCAGGGAAATTGTAAGTGTCTAAGCGCAAGAAGGGTAGATACAATACAAACAACAGCATACCAAGATTTAATGGAGTGTGATCATCCATGAAAGCGGTACGCTTTAGCCACTACACAAAATGCACAAACTTTAACCATGCAATACTTGAACATATAGCCTTTTCAAAACATAGAATCATCTAAAACCAGATTTGGAAAAATGTGTGGCTCCCAAAGCTTAAAAGTCACTATCTGGCCCTTCAGTAAAAGTTTGCTGACCACACTGTGGAGTCTTCACCAGCAGGGCTGAGTCTCTGCCTTCTTACTACACCGGGTAGCAGGCATCGGCATGGAAAGCCTAAGAGCCCAGAGGCTCCATTCACAGCCTCTTTTCCTTGAACACGGCAGGCAAGACAGGCTGGGTCAATTCCCTTCCTAATTCTCCAGAGAGGACAAAATACTCAGAGGTTTTATGTTCAATCAAAGTCAAGCCAAGAAGCCGCCTCCACCTTCTGGCCCTTATGTTCAGTTGATGGGGGAAGAAAGGGAGGGACAGAGCTTGTTAAGGCCTCTCCCAACTCTATGGAACCTGCTGGTTTGGTGGGGTCTCAGGTGAAGCCATTTTCAAGGGGAAATCCCCTGCCTCTGCTCCTCCAGCGAACATGAAGCTGGATAATAGAAGGCAGCATTACAAAAAGGGAAGGACTCTCCCTTGCTTAGCAAGGAGGTGGGGATGCTGGTTTCTGGTTAAAGTGGACATGAGGGAGATGGCACATGCGCATATCTGGGGTCCCCTGGGTCTGTGTGCACATGGATAGGGAGGGACTCACATGTTCAGGCCCCTGCAAAGGACTGTAGATTTTGATGCCATAAGGCAAGATCTTCTGTTAAAAACACATTGCATTACACTTCTGCCTTTTAATCTGGTATCCATTACCATCTCTCAGGCCCAGAAAACATCCCCCTCCCCCCCAGACTCCTACAACCAATGTCTCTCATCTCAGCTTCTGTTGTATAATTCGTTCCTTTACGATTGAGATGGTTTCAGGATCCAGAATTCCCAAGTCCTGGAGGGCTTCCAGAAGCTGCTCCCTGGAAGCACCAATGAAAGAATTCTCTAGGAAGGCGGGCAGGCCTCCCACGCCATCCTGTAAGATATACAGGGGCACCCGCACCAGGCCGAAGACCTGTGAAGGGGAGCAAACAGGTCAAGAAATAATTCTCACCGCAGCAGCAAGGTTTCTAGAGCAGACACCCCTGTAGAACAAGTACCAAGGGTTCATATTTCTGTGAGGCCCCTTGGTTCTAACCCTGTACAGGCAAAGATCCCCGAGGCATGCTGGGTCCATCTTCATGCTAATCCCATCTACAACGCTATCCTGTGGCCTGAATCCAGGCATGGCAGATGCAGGCAAAGCCCTGTACATTAGGAGTTCTATTCTAGCTGTGTAGGCCTAGCTGGGGAACTCAAGACAACTGCAGATTCACAGGCCTTCTGAAGGAAGGTTGTCGGAGGGAAGTCTCCAAGTTGCTTTCTCCCTAGGGAGCTGCCAGTGCGAATGCAGGAGTCTCTTCTCCCCTTCTCTCCAGGAGTTTGGTACTTGCCAGAATTGGAGAATCCGTTCCATGTATATACCCGTGCCCCTACTCCCCTGGGCCCAAACTGCTATTGTGGTATCATGCCTGATCGTTATTACACTTGGGAGAGTGTGTTCTAGAAAAAAAATCTCTGCAGAGGACAGTCATGGTGTGTGTGTGTGTGTGTGTGTGTGTGTGTGTGTGTGTGTGCATGTGTGTGTGTGTGTCTAACACTTTCATAGGTGGCCATACCAATAATATTACCCAGCCTGAAGATGTTTAGAGTTTTGACTAGTCCTGTACACTGGGAAGGACATAATGGCCAGAGACCAAGACCTCCCAAGGGGTTTTCCTTGAAAAGGGACCACAGGGAAGGGAGGTAGGGGTAAGAGATCCCAGACTAGCCCTACCTCCAATCCGTAGTCTTTGGCTAGCGGTGCCTTGGCTTCCACAGCCTGGAGCTGCTCTAGGGTCAGACACTTGGCATAGAAGTGGGCCACCACTTTCGACTTGGCATGGGCGAGGGAGCTTCGGTAGTCACCGTGGTCCACAGTGAAAGTGGACACACCCTCACCCAACCTCTTCAGCAGTTCCTCATTCAACCCGTCCTCCAGGGTGGGGCTGTGATCGGACACAAAACCTCCAGGGAAGCCCAGTCGTCCATCAAAGCGCATGTACATCTGAGAGAGGAGGGAATGGGGATTAGTTGGGAGATAGAACGGTGAGCCCCAGGAAGAGCGCGCAGAGCTACGCAGCCAGCGGTTGTTCCTCACCAGTACAGAATAGCGTAGTGGGATGCGGTCACCGAAGAGCTTCCTTGGATCGGGCGCATACAGCATCACGTAACAAAGATGTCGCCAGGTGGGCCCCAGGGCCAGGGCTTCCGCCAATTCCACTTTCTTAGTCGTGGCCATAGATCTTTGCTTTCGTTCACTCTCGTGGTTCGGCAGAAGATTCTTACCCTAGACCACCAATGCCTGCAGGGTGCATGAGCAGAGCAGAAGGAGACACCAGTGCGGGCTTTGCTAGGGGAACAGCGGCAGCGAATCGGGTGAAAGCTTCCTCCTCAGGGTTGGGCCGCAGACCAGGGCGTGACTAAAGGTGGGGCTGCTGTACTAAGTCATAGTTAGGAGGGCTACAAAGCTGCGGGTCTCAGGTTTTCTATGTTAGGCCAGATCAAGTTACCAAGCAGTGTAGAGAGCTGAAGGAGCAGCGTGCTGAGAGAGCCACCACCGGTTTGGTTAGGATAGGACTGGAGAATGGGGTTGGGGTTGCTGTGGGAAGAATGAGTGAATTTTTGACCTTATTAAAAAAAAAAGAAAGAAAGAAAGAAAGAAAGAAAGAAAGAAAGAAAGAAAGAAAGAAAGAAAGAAAGAAAGAAAGAAAAAGAAAACATCCAGAGAGCTCGCTAGTCGCTAGTCTCTGCTAGTCTCTTCTGATGTGTGAGGTGTCAACAGCACGAAGTCCTCACCAGACAAACCTGCCTGCCCCTTGATCTTTCACTTGCCAATACAAATCTTTCTGGGTGGTGGTGGCACAGGCCTTTAATCCCAGTACTCGGGAGGCAGAGACAGGAGGACTCTGTGAGTTCAAGGCCAATCTGGTCTACCAAGAGCTAGTTCCAGGATGGACCCCAAAGCTACAGGGAAACGATGTCTTGAAAAACAAAACAAAACAAACAAACAACAACAGCAACAACAAAGAAAGAAATTTCAGTTGTTGGTTCTTCCAGTCTAAGGCATTCGGTTGCAGCGGTGGCGATGGACTAAGATAACAACCTTCAAGACTTTGGGGCCTACAGTGATGTGTGTGGTGGAGTCACCTTGCCAGCAACCCTGCTCTGAAGGGTTTTACATTTTCCCACATTACTAACATGCCAGTGTGAAATAGCCGATTTGCTAGGGTCTCAGTCTCTCTCTCCTCTCACAGACACGCGCGAGTGCACACACACACACACACACACACACACACACACACATTTCCACCTCTGCACTTTCCTAGATTTCCGCAGATGTAAAATGACAATGTAGAGCAACTGTCTGGGTTGGTGGCACACTTCCTCAGGGGCCATATCTTGAGCTGCCTTCTCCATGACCTGTTTGGATTTCTGCCTGCAGGCATCCAATGACGGTGGAGGTAGATCTGGCTGTTTCAGAACATCCCACAAAGGGGGCCTAACTTCTCTAGATAAACGCGGAACCTGCTTCTGTGGCAGCAGGCTCGGTGGTGCTGTAGTTTGTCATTCAGTGTTTCAGCTCTTCCACGGATTTCCTCTGCCCTCCCTTAACCTCCAGCCTCTGCTCCCGTGGCTGCTGGTCCCTCCCCCTCCCCCGACTCCTTTGCTCTTCCTTCCTTCACCATGCACATCTCCTACTCAAGGGCCGGTTGGTTCTCACTAGAAGACTGCCGGACACCAAGACTGTCTAGGTAGAATTTAAATGTGCTGTAAGCTCTAGGCTCCCTCAGCTGGAAGACGAAGGAATTATGTGTGTTCCGTGACCCTGACCTCTCTCACCTCCCTCTATATATGTAAATATTCCATGTGTAGACATCTGCATCTATATTAATCGGAACAAGACTTCACGCTGATGTTTCCAGCTCTGATCGCTGCAGCATGGACCACCCTGGTCTCCCTCTACCTTTCAAATATATTCATTTGAATTTCTTATAAATGGCTGGATTACAACTTAGCTTCAGTATTTTAGCATTCTCTGCTTTCAGACACACACTTTATTTAGTTCTGTTGATTGCTTGGGCTCCTTCAAACAGCTAAGCTTCTTTGTAGATCTTCTATCACAAGGTAAGTCCCCAAACTCCAGCGCTGTCTTCAGCGATGCTCGTGGTCACTGCTAAGGAGGCTTGTTTTTAACCTTGAACAGAGCAAAGCCACAAGCGGTGGTTCAAACCCACGATCCAGGACTTGGCAGCCTGAGGCAGGAGGACAGCTGAAAGTTGGAGGGCAGCTGGACATGGAGAATCCCAGGGCGCTGTGGACCACGGGGTGAGAGTCTCTCCCTGATACACACACCAGTGTGTGCCTAAACTTAGTACCTAGCAGGAAATGTAAACCCAGTGTGCAGTCAGCTGGAATACAAAGAGTGGGCCCTGTCTTGGAAGACATGGCTCCAGTAGATTCCATTTCCTTTCCTGAAACATTATGAAAGCCACAAAGACAGACTCCATGCTTTGTCTGGGCTACTTTGAAAAGGAATATCTCTATTTTTCCTTTGTGAGACAGTCCTCCCAATTTGTAAAATTTGTAAAAATCATTGCCCTACATAAAGTCTGGGTATTTGAGAATCAGGGAAAGGACAGAAAGCTAGAAGGTTAGCTTATTGCCAAGGTGAGATATGATCAAGCACAAGCCCCAAACAGCATACAGTAAAACACATTGGTCTCTTGCTCTGAAGTTTGTAGATTGTTTGAATGGCTGTGTTTTATTGTATAGAGGCTTGGCTGCTGCAGGGGGACTCTGTTTCAATTCCCGTATTCGTGTGTCATATGATAGACAGGCTAGAGATGACAGCAGAAGACAGAACATATCCAGGGGACAAGAACACTTCCAACTCAGCTGCTCCATGGAGAAACTAAGAGTCAAAGCACTGAGAAATAGCCTTAAGGTTACAAGGTCACAGTCAGGGAGTATAGGGAGCGGTGAAGTGAACCAGACAACTCCATCTATCAGGGAAGTGAAAATCGCATTTCTGATGAACAAAAATGTTTCTAGCTGCTGAAGTGCTGCCTCCCAGACTAATGTGGAGTCCAGCTGTCCATTCTGCGCGTCTTAGTCTGTCTCCTGTTGCTATAACAACTGCATTAGTGCCCACAGGCCAGGCCATTTATAAAGAACAAAGCACTGCTCACATTAGTTCTAGAGATTAGAAGGTCAAAGGTTAAAGTGCTACATCTTGTGCTAACCTTCTTGCTGATGGAGACTCTTTGACAAATCCCCAGGTGGCACGGGCATCACATGATCAGAGGAGCCATGTTTTATGACAGATAGATGATCCCAGACCAATAACTGCATGCACCATCCAGGCAGGCAGAAATTTTTTCACTCAATCACCTCTTAAAGGTCCCACCTAGTCTTGCATTTTACTGTCTCACAAAGATTAAACTTCAACAGGTTTTGCTGGGGTCCTACATAGATTCTAATGACCATTGTATTCCTAGTAAATATTTACCAATATACTAATTATTTGTTGAGCCATATTTATGAAGAGTTTTCTGAAATTAGGAAAAACCTGAGGACACCATGTGATGATTGTTTTGAGGCTATCCTGGCCGCTTAGCAAGGCTAAGTGGGTGGAGATTGTTTGGAAGGTAAAGCTGGTCCCGTGAGCCAGCCACTCATCCATATCTGCAGAGCATCCTTCAAGGATCACTCAAAATGTCTGCAAGTGATTCTCTTTGGGGACGTGTTTGCAATGGTAACAGTAGAACCCCAGAAGTGAAGGAATGCTCGTGAATGAAGGTCCAATGACAGAAGTTCAAGAAGGCTAACCACAGTCATTGCATCTTCCTTCAACACGACGAGCATCTACAGCCATCTGAAGTACCGCTGCACCCAAGACCAAACCATGACGACAATTTCCCATGATTCCCTCTATTAACTGCATTCTTCTCAGTGCTAGTCAGCTATAGGCAAGAAACAGATTCGGAGGAAATGAATTGCTCTAGATCACAGTAATGGCAGAAGGTCTAGGACCCACACCATCTGGTGTTCAGCTTCTCCCTCAGATTATGGGAGGCAGAACTATTGTTAAATGTTGCTTCTTTACTGTGTCTCTAACCCTGCTTTACCAGTACACACACACACACACACACACACACACACACACATACACACAGGCGTGCACACGGCACACAGACACCTGTTCTTTCTCTTCGTTTCTCTTTTGCTCTTCTAGGCGCCTGGTCCTCCTTGCTTCTGACACTCTAGTTAAATGCCTCATCTTCAGGAAGGTTGCAATGTCTTCATCAGCCTTCTTTAAGCTAAGCCCAGGGCGATGGCTGGACTCTTAGAAGACCTAGGACATTTGTTCCAGGCCCAGCCTTGAAGCTTTAAATAATTAACTTTCATTCCTTTCCTTGGTGAGCTTTATCTCTGCATCACCAAAAATAGCTGGAGGCATTTCTTCTGTATACCTAGAAGGCAGAATGTGTGTGTGTGTGTGTGTGTTTGTGTGTGTCTGTGTGTGAGGGGGAGGGAAGAAAAGAGAGGGGGAACCGGGGGAGGGAGAGAGAGCAGTAAGGCACAAAGTCCTTCAGCTCCCATTTCTGTGACTGTTTTATTCCTATCATCTTCCATTGATTAGTTATTATTGTTAGTTATCCACACTGAAGTAGCCCCAAATTAAGACTGCATTGCTAAAGGAGAAAGAGGTACTCTTTTTCAAGTCAGGTCAAATCTCCCACGCCAGTGAGCAAAGGGGAAGGTAAACCCCAGTGATCGTCTTTAAGAGGCTGTGCTCCCAAACCCTGCTATTGTGGCTCTCCTTTCTTCTAAGACTGATGTGGCATTCACCACAAACCTCTGGGGAGAGGAGTATTATCTGCACCTGTCTTCTTGGAAACATGTTCTAAAATGCAAGACATTGTTCTCAGGGCACATTGCAACTCCTCTCAGACCCAGCAGCTCACACAAGCATTATCCTGTTCTAATATTATAATACTGTCATCAAGGAGACTGGATACATTCATTAACTTGCCTTCTTTTACTGTTCCTCCTCTTCAGACCACTTTGCCTTCTGGTTGGTCATCAAAGGGCTGGGGGTATCCAGAGGACTCTTCCTGAGGTGAGGACACAAAATGTCCTCTCCTCTGAGTAAAAATTATCAACAACAGGAGGATGTGAAGTTGGCAGAGTGATGGGGTGGGGTGCACAGGAGGGGTCAGAGGAAGGGAGTAGAGGACAAATGTTATTTTAGTTAGGGAAAAAAAAACCAAAATCAACGTGTGGAGGGAGAAATGGGTTTGTTTCAGCTTTCTATTCCACAGCATAGTCTGTCACTCAGGGACGTCAGGGCAGGAACACAAACAGCGC